GTAACCATGCTTGGGCTGTGAAGAGAAAGTCATCCTGGACCTGCTGGAACGCGCTTGGACATCTTGGTAGTATGAGAATTCCACTAAGTTCATGGACATGACTTGATCGCTGTGGACTATCTCAGAGTAGGAAATTAATGCCCTTTGATTTGTTGATAGTGCTATAGTCCTGTGACCAGGTTCTTTATTCATTTACATCATATATAGCTATTTATATTGGAGCAGGACAGAAACCCTTCCAATCTGATTTGCCCTGGCAGAAATCACAATACAGAGCTCACAGATGTGGCACTGGATGGCTCAGCTCAGTCTGAGGAACTGCTAAAAGTACAATCCACATGAGCAAGGTTAGATGGTGGAAGGGAACAGACACAGCACAGCAGTAATCACTGTCTGCTGGTTTATCCTTCCTTATAGCAGTTGGTAAATATACCATGTGTGTTACTTGTGTAACTAGTCATGAAGAATAACCTTTCTGACAATGAAGGAGTGTGCTGGTTTTGTCTGGGAAAAACTTAATTTTCTTCATAGTAGCTACTATGGGGCTATGTGTTGGATTTGTGCTGGAAACAGTGTTGATAACACAGGGATGTTTTCGCTATTGCTGAGCAGTGCTTACACAGAGTCAAGGCATTTTCTGCTTCTCACTCCACCCCACCAGCGAGTAGGCTGGGGGTGCACAAGAAGCTGGGAGGGGACACAGCTGGGACAGCTGATCCTAACTGACCAAAGGCACACTCCATACCATATGACGTCATGCTCAGCATATAAAGCTGGGGAAGAAGAAGGAAGCTGGGAACATTTGGAGTGATGGTGTTTGTCTTTCCAAGCAACCGTTACATGTGATGGAGCCCTGTTTCCTGGAGATGGCTGAACATCTGCCTGCCCATGGGAAGCAGTGAATGAATTCCTTGTTTTGTTTAGCTTGCACGTGTGGCTTTTGCTTTACCTATTAAACTGTCTTTATCTCAACCCACGAGTTTTCTCACTTTTACCCTTCTGGTTCTCTCTCCCATCTCACCGGAGAGGGGTAAGCGAGCAGCTGCGTGGGGCTTAGCTGCCAACTGGGCTTAAACCACGACAAGGAGGTGGGTGTTTACTTAAGTACACACAGAAATCAAAGGCCAGTGCTGGCCAGTTTACAAAGGGTGGGGTGAGAAGGGAAAGGTTCAGAGTTGCTTTTCCTTTCTGCATCATAGTATGAATGTGTGTGTGTATATACGGATGTAACAGATTCACTGTAAGTGACTAGATCTCATATATTTCTGATACATTTGGCACTGGGAAAGACATTTAATGAGCTGGCACAAAAACCAACTGGCAGCAACATCCCTGCAGGAAAATCAGAACTGCTTGCTGCAGGCTCACCTTCATTTGTCCATGACTATAGTACAATAAACCCTGTAAGCACACAGGAACATGGCAATGCAACCTACAAAGGACTTGCAGATATCTAGAAATTTTTGATGTTCTGAAATGGAAAGAAAAATCCCTCTCTGAGCCACCAGTGAAACCACAATGATTAAAAAACAACCCCTGCGCTGACAACTTCATGACCAGAAAACAATTGCTTCAGGAACAAAGTGTTGAGATTTATTGCCAACACAGTATTTAAGTTTATGTTCTTCCATCGATGTGACGTTTTTCTTAACACTGCATTACTGAACCCTCTCCACAGTGTGATATTTATACACAAATTTTAGATCAGTAACCAAACCAGAAGTAGTTTTATTTCTTTTCCTGATACAAATGCCAAATACCACAGCCATAGACATAAGCAAAAAATTGTTCCAAATAAATATGCATGGAAAGATTTTTGACAGCTTGATAACAAATTTAAACACAGTAATTATGGTATAAAGGGTTTAACAAATGATATTACTGCTAGCAGAATAAGCATCTCCAGGGAAAACAGGATTGAATACATAATCTGGAAATAGATTAAATATAGATATAAAATATACTCAGTTTATTGCATGGATAGATAAATATTAACATATTTGTGCACATTACTGGGAATGAGGCACTCATTCAGGTTAGTATAAACAAGGCCACTTGTTAAGTAGAAGGGAAAATGTTAATAAGCCTTCAAAACATCTTGCTGAATTCTAAAACCTTGAAGTCATAATAAAAAAAGGCATGCTGCTACAGATGTATTTATAGTTCACTGAATTGTAAGAAATCCAATTTCTTAAGAATGAGACAAATCCGGCAGGCCTTACTGAAAACATTGGGATTTTTTTTCCCAGGCAGAGGACTTTGATATCTGATTCATGAATGTTACTCATGCTTGTCCAGCTTTTCAGTGTTTGCTTCGTGTTTTTCTTTGTTATCATCAGTTTGTGGTATTATTTTATATATTATTAGAAAAGCATTAATCTGATAATCCCCATCAACCTAAATGTTTTACAGAGCTGTAATCAGATGCTAATCAAAGCAGTGATCAAGTTGTTTACTGGGCTAAACGTTTGGCTTGTAGAACACATGGTTTTTGATGTGATTTTATAAAAAGAAATAATAATTAAAAAAAGATTTTGCCTGCAAGCAACTTTAATGATATTTCAGTCTGTTAAAAGTTCAAAAGCTGAAAAATAGCTCTACTGATAAACACCTAATTTCTGTATTTTATATATATTTTTTAAAAAAGATCTTCTCTGCTTATACAAAACAGGCATTTTATAAATATTAAAACGTTCTATTATTTACATGTGTCCCATTTTATTGTAGAATCATTAACTGCTATTATCCAAACATGCAAGTTCTTGGAGACAAATTCTGCATTTCTCATTATCATAGTGATTTCACATGTAGACATAAAGGCAAATTTGATCCTAGGTTACATTTGCAACTTAGTTGTGAACTTTAAATACAAAAAGTATCTGTGGGTTAAGTCTTTGATCAATCTTGCACACATAATACATGGATCACAAAACCAGGAACTTCATTAAAAGAGTAAATTAATGTCAGGTGACTAGGGAAAAGGTCTAATGCACTGGGCACATCTTGTGGATAATTGTTTCAGGCTAGAACTCAGATTAATTGAAATAAAAGATGACTGCATGATTTTAGTAATGGAGCTTGACCCCTAGGTTGCTACAAACATCCTTCAATTAAGCAGTCTGAATCGCAGTCTTCAGAAAACCTAGAAAAGGTAGGACAGATTCTGATCTGATTCCTTTGGTGAAAACCTGATGAAATCTTATTAAACAAGTGAAGTCATAACAATATAAATACAGAGCAAGAGATATCAGCGTGAGTCTCTCTGTGGGTGTATTCACACTGCACCACGAATCCTAGTATAGATATTCCCAGGCTAGTAGACCTCAATGGTTCCGAGTCTTTATTGCTCAGAGGACGATTATGCAGCATTACTAGGTCAGGTCTACTTGTGTTAACAGAGCACCACAGTCAGGCCAGGAAGCCTTTTGGATAGATTTTTTAGTTCTGAGGCAGCATTGTGTGCTTGCAGCCAGGCTGCTTTCAAGTTAAATCCTGTTCAGCTAACTCAGATCTCTGCAGTGTGGTCCCCAGAATACCAAATGCCAAGTGTATTGCAGCTGAAAATAGTTTGGGAGCTACCCACAGTCACTACCACAGGATGGTGGAAGGGAACAGGTATTTTAGCAACACTCTCAGCAGCCTGATCCAGATTTTGTATAGTTTGTATAGTTTAACTCCATTGACTTGAAATGACTTGCTAGTGTGACAAATCTGTCCTGAAGGTTGTGTATTTTTCATGGCCAAGCATTTGGCAGGGACAGAAGAGGTCCTGTCTGGATAAGAACTGACATGGGACACTGCTGATCCCAACTTCTGTGGAATATCCTGCTGTCATGCTACCTAAATCAAGAACACTGAGAGAAAATTAGAATTATTCTTGCAAAAGTAGTCACTTGTTAAAAAATGCCCAACAATGACCCAGCACATTTGTCAAGATGTTCTATGATTATACAGTAATAAATGCTACTTGATTCAATAAAATGTTAATTTTTTCTTCAATCTGTTGCCATTTAATATGGTAACTCACAATGACATGCTGGATTCAGTATCATGATTCCTAGGCTCAGTTCAGGCAGAACTTTGTCCTCTGCATTTTGAATCTAACTCTATCTAATCTTCTCTAGGTACTGAAATACTAATGCTTGCATTTCCCAGCAGTGGATATGCACTAACAAATATAATTCACCTTGCAAGACTTCCATGATCCATTATAAACTTAAGAGGACACAGGCATCCAGTCTCTGAAAACCAAAATTCTTTCTGGATTTGTTGTATTCTTTGGCTTTATATAAACATAAATAAGGAAAATAATTCTCAGATTAAATAGTTGAATAAAAAGTATGTATTGCATCCTGTGGCATGCAACTGATTACAGTGTTACGCTGTCTAATCTAGCCATCTTTTGAATAAGTTCAGTTACACATAAGTAAAAAAAAATAAAAAATAAATCACTCGTATAGCTTAAGTGAAGTCAAAAGCTTATAAGAGGGAGGATTCATGCCTGAGGCATTTCATCACCTTTCAGACTAATTGTAGACATTGAGTTATTTGTGAGAAACAGTGCGAAATTTAACTGAAGAGTTTGAGGATTCCTCCTCTCAAGTATTCTGTGCTTCTGAAGAAACAGATTTCCTCTCTTATTGCAGACAGGATACATAGCACCTTTAGATAGGTTCTTCTACATTTTTAAATGTCAGAAAATACAAAACCAAAACAAAAATCTCTCCCTTACAATGCAGTTCCCTGAATAGCTGCTTAAGATTAGTGCACGATATAGGGACGTCAGGATTACCTTTCAAGCAAAGTGGGAGATTCGATATGGATTCTTCTATTGTTGATAATGGTAGGAAGAGTTCAGGATAAAAAATTTCAAGTACACCTAGAAGCATATGAACTTTTTATTCCTCACGAGTTACCATGATCTGCTGTGAACAAAGTGCAGTTCAAGGCTTTTTTTGAGGCACTCCGGAGCCTTTGGCTTGAATCCTGAGGTCTCGGAATCAAACCTCCGAGCTGTCACTGGTGTAATTATATGGTAGCATCATTGGTTCATCGCTGCCTGACTCCTTTGTGGCTTCCTTCTTCTCAGAATTCTGTTTTTGTTTTAGCAGCAAAATGATGATAGCAATTAAGGAGATGGCAAGGAAAATGGCAGCAGCTCCACCAATGATTGTGACTACATTGACCTCTGCACTTTGGGTACTCAGTTCCCTGGGGAGAACACCATTGACCGCAACCTCCCTTTGAGGAGCCTGTTTCTTGCTGGTGCGATCTAGTGCTACGTGCTGTATGTTTGTTCCTCGGTTGTTTTCCGCTCCAATGTCTTTTGCAAGCTCTGGGGCCTGCTCAGCTCCCCTCTTCTGACGTCTCTGTGTGGATGCTCCTGGGCTCCCACCACTAAAGAGCGAGTGGTACTGGTGCTCCACGCTTCTTTTGCCGATTCCGCGGTTAGTGTTCTCCTTTGAACGTACAGTGTAGATTGTATGGACATACCATTCCCTACCCAAAGACACCTAGAAATATACAATGTTTTGTATTTAAACACGCACGTACACAATCTGGACAGCACTACACAGGGAGGATATCAATCACTGTTCTGAACTGATTGCCTGGACAAGTACTTTCAAAATCATGCACAGACAACCCCCGTTATGTGCCAATGTGACCCAGAGGAGTCATGTTTTCTGCCAAAATTTTAAGGGGAGGTAGTCTCCATTTCTCTTCATGGCCAGACTATATGGCTATCAGGTGCAGATGAAGAAGCATAGCCTTCGCATTTTTTTGATACTATTAGTACCAATGGCCAGACAAAGAACCTCAGCTGTAGACAGGCCACAGAAGAGAAGTTTCCAGGCCCAATCTGCCAGCTGACTAGGCCCTAGCTATGGCTCCATTTCCACCTTAAGAGAAGAAAGCAATTTTTTACTGTGAGGATGGCTGAATATTGGAACAGGGAGGCTGTGGAGTCTCCATCCTTGGAGATATTCAAAATCCTACTGGACACGGTCCTGGGCAATCTGTTCTAGGTGACCCTGCTTTGAGCAGGGGGTTCGAACAGACAATCTCCAGAGGTCCCTGACAACCTCATCCATTCTGTGATCCTGAGATTCCCTGCAGTTTGCATGAGATGATGCTATCTTTTCGTATCTTTTCTGGATACATAATAAATTTGAACTCCATAAGGTCCAGTAGGATTGTCTCAATACTTTCCTAAAGCTACTGGCTGGTAATTTCAGTGGTTGTATCCAAGTTCTATTATTGTGAGAAATAACACACTTTCCATCTTACTCTTGTTTTTCTAAGTCTTTCTCAGGACATACTGTTGCTCCATAGTCTCATTCTTTTGATAGAATGAGGACAAAAATTAATGCATTATTGTAAATGGGTTCTTCATATAAAAAATTAGGTTTCATTTTCATGGGGACAGATTATTAAACCCTTTTTATACTGGCAAAAAGGCTGTTTTATACTGGCTGTTCTCTTAAATATTCCATTGCTTACATTGGGACCTTTAATACTGAAGCGGCCAGGAGTAGGATTAAAGTCTCCTCAATATTTTTTCTACTAATTTATATGCTTGATTTTTGTGTGCAGTTTTGCAAATACAAAAGAGACAAAACTGAAGAAACAAGTCCTGGCTGGATTGTATAGATGAAAGAGATGAACGCACATGGTTGAAGGATTATATTTAATTAAGTAGCTTCAACCTGTGAATTTCTAGGCTTTCCAATTTAGGTGTTGTTTCACAATGTGCAAGCTTGTGACAAGAGAACTGCACAGAAAATGCTGAGTATCAGATTTTGATGAAGTTGACTATAAATGCTTATGATTCTTTTATTTTTTGTCTTTGACAAGTGAGATAGAAAGCAATAAAAAACCACTATGTAACAAGAAACTTAACAAGTTCTTAGAAGAAATGCAAAAGAGTAATTTGTATATTTTATAGAATCATAGAATCATAAAATGGTTTGAGTTGGAAGGGACCTTAAAGATCATCTAGTTCCAACCCCCCTGCCATGGGCAGGGACATCTTCCCCTAGATCAGGTTGCTCAAAACCTCATCTAACCTGGCCTTGAGCACCTCGAAGGATGGGGCATCCACAACTTCTCTGGGCAACCTGTTTCAGTGCCTCATCACCCTCAGAGGGCAGAATTTCTTCCTTAGATCTAATCGAAATCTGCCCTCTTTCAGTTTAGAGCCATTGCCCCTTGTCCTATCACTACATGCCCTTGTAAAAATTTCTGGTTAGACTGTGGAATTAGGCAAGAGAAAAGCATAGTAACCTCATAGGAATCTTTTAATAGGTGCTCCACATTTTATATCTAGAAGTTTTTAAGCATTTATAATCCTGTTTGACTGTCACTGGAATCAAAATAAACCTTTCTGTTGGCTTCAATATGCCTTACCGTTAACAACAATCTTAGTGCAAATGTTTCTTTCTTGGTTCAGTACACTTGCTAATAAGCTACACAAATCATACCTGAAATAGAGGAGTTGAGTCTACTTTAAATCCATCAGAGCCTGGCTGTTTAACTAATGGAATCGCTTCAGGATCATCTATTGCAAGTCTTGCATTAAAAAGCACATTTCCAAAGCTTGTGGCTTGCGTCTCCGGCTGAGCTTTGTCCTACATGTTCATGGAGGGAAAAAAAAGTATGTAAAACACAGATTTATTTCTTCTAGGAAAAACAGTTCTAATACTTATATGCAATGTACAAATTGTGTAATTTACACATGCTATTTTATGTAGTCCAGTGTAACATCAGGCAAAAAGACATGAGAAGCAATTGTGGTCACATCTGACTTGTACTAACTTCTACTTAATCTCTTGCCTGAAGATTTTTTTTTTCTGAAATACAAGGGGGAAACACTAGAGAATGGCCATAGCTACATTTTTAAAATAAAAAAGATACATAAATGTGGTCTGAAATAAAAGTAAGAAGTCTACTTCCCAGTTTAAAGAAGCTACTTTTCATTTCTATTAACAGACATTCATATAAATTTGTTCAGATAATTAGATAATCATCTTACTTAAAGTTAACTTTCTAAAAGTTAGGCATCAGGTCTGTCGTCATCTAGGCTTACTCTGTAATTATTTTCAGAAGGGAAATAATATCAG